GAAAAATATATTTTTAAAAAGCAGCTGTGAAAAGTTCTGATCTGGCTTAGTGGTAGAGAGCTTCCTAGCTTGTTGAAGACCCTAGGCTTAATTCTTAGCACCACAAAAACACATACACACAGTTTGGCTTTGCACATGTTACACTTGAAGGGTATAGTGCAAAGAGGGGAGAAGTCAGGGTTTGATGAAGGTCCCGGAGTGGAGACAGACTAGGGCCAAGTTCCTACCTGAGGGACATTGAAGTGTAAGTGATAAGGGTGAGGGAGCAGCCGGCCAGGGAAGCTGCAGAAGAAAGGCCTGTGAGGAAGGAGCGATGGGGACAGACTGGTGTTCTCAGTTTGAATGGGAGCTGTTAGGCTAATGAGATTATTATGCTTTACATCAGAGCTTTTATTGGCTTCAAATCCTTCCAAACGCTAGTGTCTTATTCCTGATCAGGAAGAAAAATTAGAAGGAGACAATCGATACTTCTGTGAAAACTGTCAAAGCAAGCAGAATGCTACGAGAAAGATCCGACTGCTGAGTCTTCCTTGTACTCTGAACCTGCAGCTGATGCGTTTTGTGTTTGACAGGTGGGTATGTGCTGTAGCTGAGGGCAGAGGAGATGGTGAAATGGTGACAGCAGGAAGCCCTAGACCATAGAAGGTTATAGATGGAGTCTGGGTTTTTTCAGGCATCAATATATGGTGATCATATAGTAAAAATCTCAAAGATGCCAACTGTGTAGATTACAGCTGGAGAAGTAGAGAATTTAGTCTTTTTTTGCTTCAGGGTCTCCCTGTAGCCCCAGCTGATCTGGAACTCACTACATAGACCAGGCTGGCCTTGAACTCACAGAAATCCACCTGCCTCTGCCTCCTGAGTGCTGGGATTAAAGGTGTGCACTACCATACCTGGAAGAATTTATTTTATTTTTTTATTTTTTTTGAGACAAGGTCTCCTTGTAGCCCCAGCTGTCCTAGAACTTACTCTGTAGACCAGGCTGGCCTGGAACTCAAAAAGATCTACCTGCCTCTGCCTTCCAAGTGCTGGGATTAAAAGAGTGCACCACCACGCCCAGCAGAATTTATATTTTTAAAAGTAATGTTAATTTTTTTTTCTTTTTCAGTCTTTCATCTTGTAATTAAAATCAAGAGCACTCTGCACATGCACATGTGTTCTGTTAGACGTATGAACTTTGAATTCATCTCCTTAATCTTTTGGTCAGCCTTTGCCCATGTCTCCAAGATTGCTGGATGGAGTTTGGCTGTTGTGGCGTCTCTTCAGGCTCTGGGAGAACCTGTGCGTGTTCTCTGGTGCTGGCTCTCATTACAGTATGTTTTCCTCTTGGCCAGGCAAACTGGACATAAGAAGAAGCTCAACACCTACATTGGCTTCTCAGAAAGTTTGGACATGGAGCCATACGTGGAGCACAAAGGTACTGTTTCACCAGGCTGTGTAGACTACTGTGATCGGCTGTTCAGGATCACAGCTGCAGTGTACTTCTAACTGCCGTTTGCAGTCTGTGACTTTTTTGACAAGATGTTACTTTCATCTGTAATAGTAAGCACAGAGGTGTTGTCTTTGTTGTCCTTTTTGAGACAGGGTCTCTTGTAGCCCAGGCTGCCTTCCACTTTTCTGTGTCTCTAAGGACAGCCTTAAACTCCTGACTCTCTTGCCTCCACCTCCCAGGGCTGGGATTACGGTGTGTGCCACCACACTCTTCTAAAAAACAGATTTTCAGTTGTCCTGAATCTACACTTGCTATGCTAGTCTGAATATTGTTATGGGAGTTCTTACAAAACTCAGTGTTCAAGCTCCCCTCCCCTCCCCAACAGTAACTTGCACACAAGGTAAACAATGATAAAAGCCCATTGTTCCCCACAGTCTGTAGAACCCTACCTGAACTGGTCCTTGTTCACTCTCTCTGCACCTGGCCCACCTTTAGATAATCCCCTCTGTATCTCACTGCCTGTTCTATTCAGTTTGAATTACTTTCTATCGATGTTATTTAATACATTTATTTATTTGTGCACCCAAGGTCTGCCTCTCCCTCCCCTCCCCTCCTCTCCCCTCCCCTCATCTTTGGGGAGGGAGGGTTAGATTGTTTTGTTTTCTGTTCTATAGGTTGAACCAGGACCTCAGGCATGCTAGGTACATGTGATACCATTGCCCGCACCTACACCCTTCCATTCACAGTTTTAAACACTTTTGTGTCTGGGAGACAGGACTGTGTAGTCCAGGCTCTCCTCAAACTTACCACGTGACTAAGGTGGCCTCTATCTCCTCATCCTGCTGTCTCTTGAGCTTAGACTAGAAGTGTGTACCACCTCAATTGAAATTTTTTTTTTTTTTTTTTTTTTTGTCTTTTTGAGACAGAGTCTCCGTGTAGCCCCAGCTGTCCTGGAACTCACTATGTAGACCAGGCTGACCTTGAACTCCCAGAGATCCGCCTGCCTCTGCCTCCCGAGTGCTGGGACTAAAGGCGTGCACCACCATGCCTGGTGAAAATTGTTTTTAATTGTATATGTTTGTGGGTATGTGCACAACAGGAATGCTGGTGCCTGTGGAGGTCAGAGGCATCAGATATCCTGGAACTGGAGTTACAGGTTGTTGTGAGCCTCCCAATAGGGTGCTGGTAACTGAACCAGGTCTTCTGGAAGGGCAGCAGGTGCTCTTAACTGCGGAGCCATCTTTCCAGACCTTCCTTTTTTTGTGTTTTATTTATGTTTTTTAAAAAAATATTATTTTTATTTTATGTGTATGAGTGTACTGCCTGCATGTATATGAGTACACCTATGTCGTGCAATGCTGTGGAAGTCAGAAGAAGGCTTCAGATTACCTGGAACTGGAGTTAAGGGCAGTTCGTAGTCACCATGTGGGTGCTGGGAATTGAACCAGGTCCTCTGCAAGAGCAGTCAGTGCTCTTAACCACTGAGCCATCTCTCCAGCCTTTTCTTGTGTTTTAATAAGCCACAGTTCTGCTTATGTGTCTGTGACTTACTGTGTTCCTTAAGTGATTAGGGAATACTACATGTAGCCCCCAGAGCCAGTGCTGCTCCTTCCTGAGTCCCAAACCCTCCCTTATTCTTCCCTTTCCTAAACTCTGTGCATCTTGCTGGATCCTGTTTTCTTCTCCTTTTTGTTGCAAAATATAGCACTTTCATAAAAGTACAAAATAGAAAAAAGTATGACTCGGCAAATAACACGGAAGTTAACATCTAACATGGGAATGAAGCACCCAAACCGGAGGGGAGTTCCAGTACCTTGGAGCCTCCTGGGCTGTTCTCAGGACCCCCTCTCCACTTTTACAGCCATCACTTTATTTTTTTCTCTTAGGCATATCATAAACAGTTCCCCATGAACATTACAGTGTGGTTTACTCTTTTTGTACTGGGAGATAACTAAGCAAAAAGTAACCTGTAATTAAATCCTACTGTGTGTGCATCACTAGGCTGAAGGATGCTGGGGAAAACCCCACCCCTCACTCTCTCACAGTGAAGATTTCAGACACACATAAGACACATACAAAAAGTCCAATTTGACATGTTGATCTTTTAGCTGAATTGGTTAATCTATTTATACTCAATGTGATTACTGATGTGTTCCTAATTCAAATTTACTATCACTCCCCTCGCCCCATTTTTATTAACTTTTTGGTTAGCATACAGATTCATGGGTTTCATGATAGAGTTTTCATATATATCTGTCCACCTCTCCCCCATGCCCTGCCCCCACTCTAGCTGTTCTTTCCTTCCCCCAGGTGGTCGCAGCCCCTGCTTTCTTTTATGTCTTCTGTTTCCCAGTTAGACCCTTTAAGGTTCTTTGCTGTTTGGATACATTTTCAAGCTCCTCATTGATAGGTAAAAATGTTGGGAGAGAGCGCGTGCGGATGGATGGAGGAGGCACGGAGGCACAGATGGAATTCTCAGCGGGATACAGCTTTATTTCGCACGGGGCACCTTTCCCTCGGGGAAGGGAAAGATGTCAGCCCATGGGTATATATGGGGGCTTTAGGGTGTAGAAGGGAGGAATGTTTGGGGGAGAAATCAGGGAGGATTAGGGTCTGGAAGTGTTTACTTTTTCCCTCTTAAGATAAGAGAAAAACAGCTTCTAAAATCTCTGGTTATCAGGTAGAATCTGCTTATCCTATCTTTGGAGGTCAGAGGAAAGGCAGGCTGCTTCTCAGCAGAGTTTGTTTCCCTTGACTTCAAAGGTCAAGGTGCTTATCAGCTAAGTTCCCTTTTTTGGGCTCCAAAGTCTGTAGGTCCCTGTTGGGGAGGGGGGGGAAGCTGTTTGGAACCCTAACACTCATGTCTTTAAATGTCTTGAGGGTAGGTATTTTAGAACCCATGGCTGGCAGTGTTGGAATAGCTTTGCAGCAGCTTCTGAGCCTGGTTGTCCCACTGGTAGCTGGCTATGCTTTATTGCTGAGACATTCTCCTAGTTAGATGTCATCACACAGGTCAAGGCTCGAGGATCACCCAGACTTAAGAACGTGTTGTGTCCTGTCTGAGGCCATGAAGTTTCCTTCTCTCTCTCCTTTCTGCTGCTCTGCTCAGAGCTAAAGAGTTTTTTGGGTTTTTTTCCCCCCTTTATTATTAGTTTTTTTGTTTTTTTTTTTTTGAGATAGTCTCTTTGTAACCCAGGTTGCCTCAGTACTAAGATTTACAGGACTATGTTAGGAAATCTGGCTCTGGACTCTCTGTATTGTATGTGTGTGTATATGCATTCATATCTATTCCGGTGCACATGTGTGTGCATATATATGGAGGCCAGAGGTCAACTTAGGAGCTATTCACCTTTGCTGTGTGTGTGTGTGTGTGTGTGTGTGTGTGTGTGTGTGATTGTACATGTGTGTGAAAGCACGTGTATGGAGGTCAGAAGACAACTTGCAGGAATTGGTTTTCTCTTCATCGTGTGTGTCTCAGGGATCAGACTCAGCTCATCAGCCTTGGCAGCAAGAACCTCTATGATCTCACCAGCCTCACACCTTGGTTTTTTAAAAATGGGTATTGATTATCAAACTCAGGTCCTTATGGGTATATGGTAGGCACTTTACTGCCTGAGCCATTTCCTTAGCCCCTGGAATTCTTTCTCTGTCCCCCCCACCCCCACCCCCGTAGCCTCAGCTGGCCTGGAACTCGCTATGTAGATCTACCTGCCTCTGCCTCCCGAGTGCTGGGACTAAACGCCTGAGCCACCATGCATGGCTTCCTTCTTCTTCTTCTTTTTTTTTTTTTAAACCACATTGAATTATGGCTTATAGAAACCCTACCCTCCCTCCCTTCCTTCTTTTTGAGACAGGGTCTCCTGTTGCTCTGCTAGCCTTGATCTCACAGAGATCTGCCTGCTTCTGCCTCCTGAGTGCCATGGTCAAAGGTGTGCACCACCACAACCTGCACCTATCAAATTCTTTAGTGTGGGTCTTTTGGTTACAGATCCTTTTTGCATACCATTCATTTCAAGTGTGTCCTTTGACCTTGTAAAATGCATTTCTTCTCACCGTGCTGCCCTAACCCTGCCCTTCTGTTGTCTTGGCCACTTGTCCATTTGCTGCTGAGAAATTGAGTCCGTTTCTTACTTTGAGTGTCCTGTTTTATTGTGCCTAGTTTTAAGATCTATTCTTTGGTTTTAGTGTTTGTAGTATTGTGGTTAGACTTAACATTTATTTCATTTATGTACTCTTCTCACACATAAAATCTAAAATGTTGCCAAAGTTACTGCTAATGCATCTCCTGTGCTCTTTCCCCTTTCTGAGCTTTAGTGCTCTTTGTTGCTTCTCCTGCATTTTAGGAAACCTGATCCTAGAATAACCTTTCTTTGGTTTTTCTTTGGTTATGGAGTTGAGCTAAGAGCACCTGTGTGCTAAGCGTACCCTCTTACCCCTGTATGAGCCCTCTGTATAGTTTTGATCATTAATCAGTGTAGTTTTCATATCTAGTTCAGTCCGGTTTTGAATTTGAATCTGCTTTTGTTTTTCTGTGATCTATCCCTTATTCTTAGTCTTTATCTCCTTTTTTTTTTAAACTTGGGTTTTTGAACTTTAGACTTAAGTTTTTTTGTTTGTTTCTCATTACTGAGCTGAGACTCTTTGAGTTTGTTCTCCTTTTAGCTCTCTTAGAGAAATGGTTTCTGTACTGTGAGGTATGGTTGTTGACTGAACTCAGTTCCTTAGAACTGATGCGCATCTCAGGAAAACAATAAACAAGATAAAGTAGTAGATAAGAGGTCTTGCTTTGTAGCTTATACTGACCTTGAACTCACAGCAGTCCTCCTGCCCTAGCCTTCCAGATACCAGGATTGGAGGCCTGGGATGCCACAGTTCATAGCTCACTTGACTTTAGAATTTCACTCCCTAGGTCTGAACTCTGTATCTAGCTTCTTATGAACTTAAAGGGGAGATTTACTTTGATTTAAGTTTAGATTCTTTTGGAAGATTTTTCCAAACTTCTTTTTGTCTTTTTGAGACAGGGTCTCCCTGTAGCCCCAGCTGGCCTGGAACTCACTATGTAGACCAGGCTGGCCTGGAACTCAGAGATCTATCTGTCTCTGCTGGGACTAAAGGCACGTACCAACACTCCCGGCTGATTTTTCCAAACTTTAAAGATTTTATTCTTCATGTTCTGTTTTGCATTTTGCTCATTTTTCAGACACTTCTTACCTGTAGTTCAGCCTTGCCTGGAACCTACTATATTGCCTGCAACTTGTGGTTATCCAGTACTCAAAAAAAAAGTTACCCATATTGTTTTGTAAAACTAAACTCTTTAGTCTCTGCTCACTTCCCCCATTCTGAATGCAGTTTAGCTGTGTAGCCCATACTAGCATTTCTCAGCCTCTGGAATGCTGGGACTGCAGATGTCCAGCCACTCTGCCCAGATTTTAGGTGACATGTTTTGAATTCAGCTGGTTGTAGAAGGAATCGCAGTGACCGCAGTTGGTGCTCAGGCTGTCAGAAAGTTGCTCTAACGCCTTTTCTCCTTGCAGGTGGGTCCTTCGTGTATGAACTCAGCGCAGTCCTCATACACAGAGGAGTGAGTGCTTATTCTGGCCACTACATCGCCCACGTGAAAGATCCGCAGTCTGGAGAGTGGTACAAGTTTAATGATGAAGAGATAGAGAAGATGGAGGGGAAGAAATTACAGCTAGGGATTGAGGAAGATCTAGGTAAAACCTTTAAGTTGTGAGTGCCCTTTTAAAATATAAATTTTTTATTGGCAGTATTTATGACACCATATCATAGCCCAAGATTGTTACCAAGGCTATTTAACATCTCTGCACATCATTTGTTAGCAATTCCTGCTTCAAAAATGTAATTAACCAAGGCGACAGCATTAAGGCAAAGGGACAGTTTCAGTTACCAGGTTTTGTTCCTGGAGCAAGGGAAGACAGGGAAGTGGGCTAGCAGCCAGATATAGTAGATTGTGTTTTGGAGGGCTTGCTGTCCTTTTCTTGAGTTAGTGACTGTAGCAGGGAAGCTGTATTCCAAGTTCAGCTTCCTACCCTGAACACCACCCAGAACGCTGAGGTGGTGCCTGTGTGACTGCCTGCTGGTGTCTAGTGCTGAGGTCTGCCACAGACACCCTCTTGAAATAGAATCCTAGATCCTAGATGGAAGCAGCTCTGTCACTCAGCTGTCTTCATTCAACTTCCTTCCTGAAGAGGGGACAGGTCTCAGTCTTGCCCGAGTCCCACATCACTTGCCCCTCTGCATTTTGGATGAGGTTCAGAGCCTGGGATCTAAAACTTACTGTTGTTTGGTTTTTTTGAGACAGTCCCAGGCTGGCCTTGAGCCCTCAGTGGCAGTTCTCCTGCCTCAGCTCCCAGCTCCTGAGACTGCTGGAATTGCAGCAGTGTACCACCACACGCGACTTCCATGGTTCCTTCTTGGTGGATCAGAGCCAGTCCAAGGTGTCCAGCAAGTAGGCAGCATTGACGCATGGACCTTGATGGCTTCTGAGTTATCTCTGCAGGTGCTTTGGTGCTGATTACTCTTAAAGGTTGGAGAAGTGTTTTAAATACTTCTCTTAAATCCCATTTCCATTTCTACACTGTATTATTACCTTTTTACCCTACTTCTTAAACTTCCACAGCTGCCCCAATAGTGCCACCAGTTGGAGAATAAACATCCAGAGCACAGGTCTGTGGTGGCTGTTTCAGATCAAAGCGGCAGTACAGACTTTGAGCTCCCATTTCACTGAAGTGACACTTATGTTCCTAATATTTATTTCTATTGTTTTTATTATAGCTTTTTAAAATTTTTTGGGTAGGAACAAAGGTTTTTGTGTTTTTGTTTTTGAGACTGGGTCTGCTTATAGCTATAACTGGCCTGGGCTCGACTCACTATATAAATTAGAGATCCGTGCCTCTACCTTTTGAGTGCTGAGATTAAAGGTATGTGCCACAACGCCCGGCCCAGAAACAAAATTTTGATGTGTTTAGATTACAAATGATTGTTTTCATTTTGAGGATTTTTTTTTTTTTAAACACTGAGGTTAAGGCCATCTATTTTCATGCTAATCATTTTAAATTATTTTAGAGGCCGGGCATGGTGGCGCACGCCTTTAATCCCAGCACTTGGGAGGCAGAGGCAGGTGGATCTTTGTGAGACTGAGGCCAGCCTAGTCTGCATAGCAAGTTCCAGGCCAGTTATGACTTCAGGGAGACCCTGTCTCAAAACAAGATAAAAAAAAAAAAAAAGAAAAGAAAAGAAAAAGTAATTTATTTAATTACAATTTATAATTATTTATTTAATTATTTTGTCTTTTTGAAACAGGGTTTCCCTGTAGCCCCAGCTGGCCTAGAATTCATTATGTAGACCAGGCTGGCCTTGAACTCACAGAGATCCACCTGCCTCTGCCTCCCAAGTACTAGGACTACAGGTGTGCGCCACCATGCCCAGCAGAATTTTCAATTTATTTTTTATATAGTTAGTCTCATATAACCCAAGATTGAAGTTAATTCATACTAGTGGTACTGTGCCTCCTCACCCCCTGCTGTCCTGTAACTTGGTGTGTATATCAGGTTTGCCTCCAACTTTTGGTAGTCCTCCCAGCTCTTCTCCTGAGTGCTGAGATTGTTGATGTGGGTCCCACACTCAGCCAGTAGGACTTTTATTTTTTTCAAGATTTGTCCTCAGGGGACATGCTTTCATCTTTTATAAATGGAGTGTACAGCTGGGCATGAAGACACACCTATAATCTGTGCCCTATCTCAATTCTTCAGAAATATGGAGTGTGCCAAACAAAAGTGGGCATTTGTCTTCTTTAAATCTTCCCAAATCTAGGCTAGTGAGATGGCTCAGTGGAGGAAAGGCACCACTGCTAAGCCCGATGGCCTCAATTTGACCTCCAGAACTCAGTGTTGGAGAGAACTGACTCCTGAAAGCTGTCTTCTGATCTTCATCAGTGTGGCACACTCAAAATAATTTTTCAGCTCTCTAAATCTAAGAATCCCACTAAGCTTATATAACTTTTTAATGTTTTAGATATTGAGTATTTGCTGGGCAGGGTGGCACATGTCTTTAGTCTCAGCAGAGGCAGGTGGATCTCTGTGAGTTCCAGGCCAGCTGGGCTACAGGGAGACCCTGTCTCAAAAAAGACCAAAATAAAATAAAATAATAATAATATATATTGAGTATTTCAAGAATCTTTTGTGTATTTGTGGGGTGGGGGATTGTGCAGAGATTTGAGATCAAAGACCAATCTTGCGGTCTTTCTGTTACTTTTTGGGTTTTTTTTTTTTTTTTTTTTTTGTCTTTTTGAGACAGGGTCTCCCTATAGTCCCAGCTGACCTGAACTCACTATGTAGGCTGGCCTTGAACTCACAGAGATCTGCCTGCCTCTGCCTCCTGAGTGCTGGGATTAAAGGTGTGTGCCACCATGCCCAGCTTGAAAATAAGTTTTTATGCACCCTCCCCTGAACAAAGTATAAGCCATGCAGTTAAATTGTCTTTTAATTTCTCTACCCCAGCAGAGCCTTCTAAGTCCCAGACACGTAAACCCAAGTGTGGCAAAGGAACTCACTGCTCTCGAAATGCATATATGTTGGTTTATAGATTGCAAACCCACGAAAAGACCAACACAACGGTTCAAGTTCCAGGTATTCGCTTTTCCTGGATTACTTCTGGGAAATGTAGAATTCTGTACTCCAAGGTTAATGACTGCCACCATATTGCTTTTATTATGATAGGCTGGTTCATTATGGTAAATATCAGTACAAGTAAGTATTTGCCACACATTTCCCAAGTAGTAAGCTTTTAAGATGAAGGGGCCTTGGGCTGGGCTGGGCTGTTCCCTTGCCCCTAACTCTAAAGAAGGGCAAAAACAATTTTTAGTGAAGTTCAAAAGGTAACCAAACATTGACATGTGATTTTATTTTGTTTAATTTGTAGAGCAAAAGAAATTGGTTTACCTGCTGTAGCATTTCCTGTTCTGAAATGGTGTTTCTGAGCCATTTGATGGTTCTGGGTAGGTGGTGATGTCGTGGTGAGCAGATGGGGTCTTGGATTCTTCAGAGGGTATCTTCAGTTTTACCTTCTGTCTTTATCCCAGAGGCCTGGCAAAAGGCAAACTATAGTAGGAAGTTGCCACTAGAGTAGTCACTACCTTTGGATGTTAATTTACAAATCAGTTCAGTCTTTTGTCTTTGAAAAAGAGAATAAGGTTGCTTTATTGTCTTTTGTTTTGAACAGCCTTTCTTCAAGAGCTGGTAGACCGAGATAATTCCAAATTTGAGGAGTGGTGTGTTGAAATGGCTGAGATGCGGAAGCAAAGTGTGGATAAAGGGAAAGCAAAGCACGAGGAGGTGAAGGAGCTGTACCAAAGGTTACCTGCTGGAGCTGGTCTGTAAGATATTCTAGGACATTATTGCCATTGAATGCCTTGGGTGTTTTGTTTTCTGTTTTGGGTTTTTTTTTTTTTTTCTTTTAATATAAAAATGTGAATGAACAAACCTTTTCCTATTCTTAGAGCCCAGCTTATACATTCTAAAATTACTGTGTGAACTGTTAATAATTGATGTGTAGTATCCATATAACTTTCAGTATTTGTCCTTTTCAAAGTGGGAAGCTGCTAATAAATGGTAAATCTTAGGTTAGCATTCTGCAGTCATGACTTGTAAAGATTTTTTTTCTACTGTAGGCCAGCAAGATAGCTCAGTGGGTAAAGGCGCTTAGCTCCAAGCTGGACCACCTGAGTTTGACCCCTAGGACCCATATAGTGGATACATATGTCCCACATGGTCACACAAAAATTGCAATAAAATTTAATTTTTAAGGATTTTTCTACTGTGATATATCCAAACCTAGCCCTGATTGAATTACTGTGGCCCTTCTGTTTCTTTGCCCTAAGAGCATTAACTGACATGTGAATAATTTTTGATACTTTTAGATGTCTTGAAATTCAATAGCAGCTGTTAAGCTATGAGTGGAAAAGGTTTCTGCCCACCACCATTCTTAGACTCATTCCCATAACCCAGCTTGTCTTTTTAACTGTGTTTAGTTGAGTTTATCTTGTGTCTGAAAAGGTAATTATGTGATTATTATTCAAATAACCCAGCTTATCTTTTTAACTGTGTTTAGTTGAGTTTACCTTGTGTCTCAAAGAAGCCCCCTTTTAAGACTGGTATAACTTTGGTTGCAGTGTGTCACAAAGACAAATTCCCCAGCCTACCTTCTACTTAACAGAGGAGAGGCAGTGTGGTCCTAACTTAGAAATAAGTATTCAAGCATAATTGTACTTACTTACAGTTTTTTTTTTTTTTTTGGTCTTTTTGAGACAGGGTCTCCCTGTAGCCCTAGCTGGCCTGGAGCCTCCAGTGGGCTGGGATTAAAGGCATGCCCCACCACACCAGCATACTTAGAGTTTTGTCTTTTTCATGTTAATTTTTCATTACTAGTATAATTTTAAGCCAGAGATAACTATGAATTGCTAAATGTGTAAGAAAAGTTCTTAGACATTCTTTCTAGGGACTGGCAGGGAAGCTCAATTGCAGAAGACATATTTGTATGTGTAATGCTCAGGTTTTGACTCCTAGCTCCCAAAGGAAAAAAAAATTATTCCAATGGCTTCTGAGTGGCATTCAGTCCCTCTGTTGTGACCTGGCACTGTAACAGAAGAGCTGCTGTTCTTTATTTGTCAGGGCATGATTTGGAAGTGACTTCATGAGTCACATCATTCCGTTCATGTTCTTCTGTTCAAAGGAGTTGCTCCCTAGAAACATGTTTTCCAAACTCTAGTCACAGCTTCTTGCATTGTGCCCAGACGAAAGGGATTCCTGACTCTAAAGTAAAAATGCCATGTGACAGCCGAGGAGGGAGCTTGGCAGAAGTGGAGAAGCTTTTGAGTTCCAGTACATGCTGCTGTTGTCTGCTGTAGTTGTTCTAGGTACTTTCCTGTAGCAGTTACATTCCTTGTACTTTTTGAGGCAAGGTCTCACCTAGTCCTTGCTGGCCTAGAACTCACTATATGGCCCCTAATGGTGTCAGATTGTGGGTGATCCTCCTGCCTCAACTAGGAGTGCCAGGATTACAGGTGTGAGCCACTATGCCTGGCATTGTAGTGGTAAGATTCAGTTGTTTATTCTTTCAATAGAACATATTGCCAGGAGCAAAGTGGAACCAAAGCAGAAACCTGGTGAATTATTCCTTAAATGTGGCTCTGTATCACAATTACTCAACACTTTAATCTCTGACTGCATGGTGGAAATAGTAAATGTGATTAGACTTTTGGGCTGCAGGGGGTCTTTTTGAGACAGGGTTTCCCTGCAGCTCCTGCTGGCCTGTAACTCACTATGTAGACCAGGCTGGCCTCTATCTCAGAGAGATCTGCCTGCCTCTGCCTTCTGAATGCTGGGATTAAAGGTGTGAGACACCATATCTGGCTGATGTGCGTGCTTATTAGACTTTTGTTTTGCCCTGAGATAGGGATCACTTACCCTTGCATTTTTCAGAACTCAGCCCAAGCCTGAACGTAATTGGCTATGTTGACTTTTGTAGGGTGGAGGAGGGCTGATACCAGGCAGCTGCTTCAGCTCTGTGCTGTACCTCTAGCTAAAGGCCTACATGTATTATTGTTCTGTTTTTTTCCTTTAAAGTTCATTTTGGGGAGTGGTGCTGGGGATTAAACCCAGGGCTTCACGAACCCTGCTATGCTGTTTATAGGATGCCACAACCATTTTATCTGTTCTTCATTTTAAGGTCTCCTCCTTTATATATTGTTTGGATATATAATTAACTTTTCTGTATCTCTTTTCTTCCAAAAAGCTCAAAATGCCTCACATAGCTTATCTTTTTCACTCAGCAACATCTTTGTGAGGTAGGTTGAAGGCAGGTATTATTACCTTCATTTTACAGATAAAAGATCTGAAGCATAGAGAGTTTAAGTGACTTCCTCATGTTCAGTGTCTTGGAGGCAGAACTGGATTAGCCCTTGGTGTCCACTGGCAGTTGTATGCTGTCCCCTGCAGCTGCCTAAAACTGCCCAGTGGGACCTCTTTGCTGTCCAATTTTAGCAAAGACAATTGATTTGACATTTCCAAATTTTGTTTTTGTCAAAATTGAAATGTTTTTCACTAAAATTAAGTGGGAGTTAGCTTTCTGGATGTGTGACTCTGGGGAGTGTGAAACTGGTAGAGATAAGCTTTGCATTGAAGTGTCTGTCCCTCAGATCTCGCCAGACGTAGTGCACAGTACAAATACATGAATTCAACTCTGTATGTTTTCTCCTATGTTTATGCTGGGACTCACTGGAGATCTTTGTAAGTAATCAAAGCTGTCCCTTTATCTTTAATTTTGGCTCTTGGGGAACTCTGGGACTCCCTTTTCCCCAAATTAAATTTTATTTGCAAGTTTCTAGTTTTCTCTTAATTTTTGAACTTCAAAATTGATAATTCTGTTCTAGTGTAATTATCCTAGAACTTATTTCAGATATGTTCTTGAAATAAATAACAATGAAATGAGTAGATGACAACATGGACTTTGGGGATCATATGTACTTTTTCTTGATCAGTACCAGCTTCATCTTGGAGACAGAAGGAGCTTGAGAAAGTGGTTGTAGCCGACAAGGCTGATTTCTAACTTAGAGCCCAGTCTAGTCTTCCATTTTAGTTTTCAGATGTGTGCCACGTACTTTTGAAAATCAATGAAAATACTAACGAGTACACACAGTCAGGGACAAGGTAGTGATTTTTCCAGTCACTGTGAGCATGAGTTGTAGCCAGAGCTACAGGTGTCCTGATCGAAGCTCTGCTGTGCTGTCAAGAAAGGCACTTCTCTCTGTTGGATGCCTCTTGTAGAATGTGGTTAATAATACCAGCCGATCATAGGGCTCTGTGCAGACACGTTTCCATGCACAGCTCGTGAGGTCCCAGGAGAGCTAGCTAAACGGGACGCTTAGTCAAACTCAGCAGACACCTCCCCATGATTGTTCTGATCCTGCTGACTTTGGACAGAGTTTGCACTGTCTTTTGAGGGCAGTGACTATATCACTTAGTCCAAAAACTGTAAAAAATACATAGTTTCTTCCCATTCCTTTTTTCCTCAGAGCCCTATGAGTTTGTTTCTCTTGAATGGCTGCAAAAGTGGTTGGATGAGTCGACACCCACCAAGCCCATTGATAATCATGCTTGCCTGTGTTCCCACGACAAGCTTCATCCTGATAAAATATCAATCATGAAGAGAATATCCGAGTATGCGGCTGACATTTTCTACAGCCGATATGGAGGAGGTCCAAGACTCACTGGTACGTCACGGTGTCTTCTGTGCTTAAAGAAGAGTTGTGTATTGGGTCTGTACTCTGATCTGTGTCAGTGGGACTGTATGATGACTTGAAGCAAACTGTTGGACTGAATTCCTACACTGCAGAAAGGATTTGCTGAGTAAAGTAGAAGTGAAGCGAAGAAGTGGATGCAGATAGAATAGGTCCCTGTTACAGAGTCGTCTCATGACTGAAACTTTGTTTCCTTCATTGCAGGCTTGTTTCTCTAAGTTAGTAAAGTAGAAGTGAAGCGAAGAAGTGGATGCAGATAGAATAGGTCCCTGTACAGAGTCGTCTCATGACTGAAACTTTGTTTCCTTCATTGCAGGCTTGCAATGTAGATTTCTAAGTGTTTGATCTGTAGATGTTTCTTAGTTTGTGAATCTATCTTGAATATGCAGAGCTATGTATAACTATAGAATATTCAATCTGTTTGGTCCTGGCTACCTTTTAAAATATTTACTATTTTTATATTGTGTGCATGAATAGTATTGCCTGCCTGTATGTAAGTGTACCCCTGTTGTGCAAGGCCAAAGAGGGCATCGGATCCCCTGGAAGTGGAGTTAGGGACAGTTCGTAGCCGCCATGTGGGTGCTGGGAATTGAACCCGGGTCTTCTGCAAGAACACTCAGTGCTCGTAACCGCTGAGCCATCTCTCCAGCTCCTCATCAAGTGTTCTTAACTGCTGAACCATCTCTCTGGTCCCCTGGCTACTTTTTTAATGAGCTACCGGTAACACAACTCCTTTTCTAAACTCTAAATAAGGCTAAGGAAATTGCATGGCCCCCAGTTCCTCTTTTCTGAAGTTAAGTGCTATTTTCTGGTTATGTGCAGCATTTAATTACATGCTTCAGGCCTTCCTGTATACACAGGAGTTTCCCTTTCTAAATTACTGTTCTAAATTCAGAATTAATAAACCATGCAATGGAAGCTTTTTTAAAGAATCACAATTCAGGGCCTTAGAGATGGCTTAGTAGGTAAAAGGGCTTGCCATGAAGCCTGGTGACCCAAGTTTGATCCTCAAGATCCACATGTGGAAGGAGAGAACCCCACTCCTGCAAGTTGTCCTCTGACCCCCACATGTACGTGCATACACACACAGTAATACTAAATAAAAAATTTAAACTTACAAAAATTCATCACAATTCATGTGATTCCTAGAGCCTCTACTTCCATCAAGTCCTTGTTCTTATCTTGTAGTGTAGTGCTTTGAAGGTCACCTCTGCATGAAGACCATTGTGTTCATGTTGTCAGACGCCTTGACCCTCCCTCTTTAGTCACAATCATTTGATTATCTTTATAAGTCTCTCAGCCTTGAAATACATCTCTTCTTTGTATAGAAAACAGAATTGTTATGTGGATGTCTAGATGACCCAAATTAGGGTACAGGCTGACTGGATTGTCAAAAATTTGTGATTTAGATTTCGAATTCTTGCCTGTGTTGTCCAAGTCTGAAAACATTTTTGTCACGGGAAGTCTGTGTGAGAGTGAAGTTATTTCTTCTCCTTCCTCTCCTCTAGTGAAAGCCCTGTGTAAGGAGTGTGTTGTAGAACGCTGTCGTGTATTGCGTCTGAAGAGCCAACTGAATGAAGATTACAAAACTGTAAATAATCTGCTGAAAGCAACTACGAAGGGGTATGTTGCTCGGTGTACTGTTGATGAGAGTTTAAGACACTGTAAGGAGGGGCTAGAGAGATGGCTCAGTGGTTAAGAGCACTGACTTCTCTTGCAGAGGACCTGAGTTCAATTCCCAGCACCCACATGGTGACTGAACTGTCCTTAACTCCAGTTCCAGGGGAATCTGAAGCCCTCTTCTGACCTCCATGGCATTGCACGACACGGGTGCACTCACATACATGCAAGCAGTACACTCATACACATAAAATAATAAAATATTTTTTTAAAAAAAGACACTTTAAGGAGACAGTAACCTGGCCACTTGTTACTCACTAAAGATAGAGGGTTGGCAGTAGTGGAGGTGAAGTGACATCAGAGCAGATCACAAATGAACCTTGCTCACGGGATAGTGCTGCTCAACCCTTGTAATCTCACGCTTGAGAGACTGAGGCAGGACAGCCTGAGCTACACAGCTGGACTGTCCCTTAAACTTTTTCTTAACATTTATTTTTTTATGTGTGTTTGTGAACATGTGGTACATCTCATGGTGTGTATCTGAGGGCCAGAGAACAACTTTGAGAGCTGATTCTCTCCTTTTGGCATGTGGGTTCTAGGGCTTGAACTCAGGTCATTGGGCTTGGCAGCCAAGTGCCTTTATGTACTGAGCCATCACACCAGCCCAGGACTGACAACTAAAAAAATACATAAATAGTAAATTTTGTGGGGTTGGAGAAGTGGCTCAGGAGATAATATGCTTGCTTGTTAATGCCATGTGAACCAGTGTTCAGATCCCCAACACCATCTACTTAAAAAACCATGGTGCCTGCCAATAATCCTGGCACTCAGGAAGTAGAGATAGGAGATTCCTGGGACAAGCTGGAGTCAGCTCCAGGTTCAGTAAATAAAGAGGATCCACACATACATGCACACTTTGTTGAGTAAAATTTTAAAAATAGCATTTTTTGTGTGTTTGTTTTTTTTTTTTTTAATTGAAGTTTTACAATAACTTTTTTTGCGGGGGTAATGTTTACAAAAAAAAAAACCTCACAAGACACAGACCACCTTTACAGCTAGCTGTACTCTGTCTATTGAGAGAGGAAGAAGCAGGGTGTGGGTCTCAGCCTGACCAAACTGACTTGTGAACCTATGCTCAGAATGCTTGTGCACAGGAAGACTATGTGGGGAAAGCATTCTAGCAGGCCTGAAGGAGTGGTGAGAAGTGGAGCTCATGGGCATCCTTATCAGAAGCACACAGGGTAAGGGGGATAGGCAGAGCTCCACTCCACAGAGCACCTCTCAATTCAGATTCCAGTCCTTAAATGATGGTGTTTGGGCTTTGTTTCTTAGTATCTCCCAAACAAAAATAAGCCTAATAGGTCATTCTACAGAGTACCAAGTGCCCTGATAGTGCGTGTGGGGGACATTGATAAGCGTGTACATGCCCAAAGTATCTTCAAACCCACTTAGAGGAACAGCTGTATGCATTGGGAGGAGTGGTCAAGTGGAAGAGAGTGGCCATTTGACTGATGTGGTTGGCATGAGTTTAAATTGAAGGTAGGAGAAAGGGGAAGATTTAGAATGGAAACAAAGTGATAGGTGCCTGCAGTTCAGTCATGAGGAAGGAAAGCAGCTCAGATGAGGATCTGAGCACAATATCTGATTTTAGTGTTTGGATTTCACTTCAGTTGTGGGCCTCACAGGGAGGGATAGACAGGGAGGAAAGCATTGGGAATCGTCCTGTATGTGAGGTAACGTTCACTCTGTTTTACAGCAGTGATGGATTTTGGGTGGGAAAATCATCCTTGCGGAGTTGGCGTCAGCTGGCTCTTGAACAGCTAGATGAGCAAGATGGTGACGCAGAGCAAAGCAATGGGAAGATGAACGGGAGCTCCTTCAGTAAAGGTGATGGGGGGGGTGTCCATCCTTCTGGATTAGAACCTGTGCATTTTGTTTGTCTAGGGATGTGAGGGTCTGTTCTAGGGGTGGGGGTGGGGGCGGGGGCCTGGGCCTCATTTTTTCCCTGAGTTCCTCCCAGGGCTCTGCAGCTCCTGCTTCCCCTGTTCAGGTTTGTGTCCCCACGCTTTTATGATGAGCTTGGAGATTGATGTGTGCTTGGAGACCTTGAGCAAAGCTCAAGACCATGGCAAAGCTGCACTGTCTATCCCTACCCCACATGCCCCATCAGCTTGGTGTGTTCCTGCCCATGGCAGCCATGCCGTCCCCAACTTGCTCTTGGTTTTGGTGGGATACTCCTTTCCCCCACCAGGAACCTTTAGTGTTCATTTTTGGTCTAATTGCCTTAAAAAAAACTACATTGATACTCATCAATATAGTTTAAATATGGCTTTTATTAAATCTAACGGCCTCGAAAAATAGCTAAGGGCAAATAGGTTTTCAAGCTAGTGAAATCCAAGAAAGACTCTGCTTAAAGACTTGGCAACGCCCTCTGGGACTCTTCTTTTCAGCCAGCGGGGCTTTGGGCTCAAGTATAGTTAGTCACATGCAAAGTTCCTGTCAGTTCTGCTATAGGCTAAATGTTGAGAGAAGGAAGTCAGCTTTGGGGGACTGTAGGTGTGAGCGCAGCACTGCTTTCAAACAGGAAATTGAGATGTTGTAAACCTACTAGCAAACTTCATTTTATAGTCAGTGCTTTACAAATACCAAAGGGAATCTAGATATTTAAATCATTTTTAGATCTAAAATGGAGATGTGATTTGATCAGATTTACTAATCCTGAGGTTAGTTGCCCACAGTAATGATGTTAGTTAGGGATCCCTGAGCAACTCTATTTCCACTTAATTTTCTCCCTAAATCACCCCCCTTCCCCTTCCTTCTCTTTGTTTTCTTCTTTTATGGTACTGCAAACCCAGGGCCTCACACCTACCAGGCAAGTGCTCTCCCTCTGCACTAATCCCCAATTCCATTGAATTTTATTTCTAAATATGTTTATTTTTATTTTATTTTATTTATTTATCACAGAGATCCACCTGCCTCTGCCTCCCGAGTACTGGGATTAAAGGCGTGCGTCACCACGCGTGGCTATTTTATTTTATTTAATGTATATGCCTGCATGTAGGCAAGTGCACCGGTGTCGTGCAGTGCCCATGGAAGACAGAAGAGGCTGTCGGATCCCCTGGGACTGGAGTTACGGACAGTTGTTAGCTGCTATGTGGGTGCTGGGATTTGAACCTGGGTCTTTTGCATGAACAACCAGTGTTCTTAACCGCTGAACCATCTCTCCAGCCCCTTATTTCTATTTTTAAACTTTGTTGAAATACGTATTTTCTACATTAAAAAAATTTTTTTTGGAAGACAAGGTCTCATGTGTTCTAGGCTGGCCTCAAACTATATAGCTGAGGATAACTTTGAACTTCTCATCATCCTGCTAGGATTATAGCTGTGTACTCCCACACCTAGTTTTTAATGTGGTACTGGGGATCAGCCCAGTGCCTTTTGCTTGCTGAGCTGCATCTCTAGCCTCATCCCACCCCCACCAAGCCTGTTTCCTTTGTTTGTTTTTGTATTGTTTTATTTTTGAGTCAGGGTCTCCCTGTAATCCCAGCTGGCCTGAGACCTATGTCGTGCAATGCCCACAGAGGCTAGAAGAGGGCATCAGATTCCTGGGAACTAGAGTTACAGATGGTTGTTAGCAGCTGTGTGGGTGCTGGGAAACTTTGAACCCAGGTCCTCTGCAAGAGCAACCAGTGTTCATAACCACTGAGCCATCTCTCCAGCGGCCCCACCCCCACCCTCACCCCGCCTCCCAGGCAAATTTTTAAATAGTTTTAAAGCATAATGTAGCAGTGTAGCATTCAGTCTTTCCCAGCAGACACAAGCCCTGTGTATAGGCTTTTCACAGTGGAGCTGGTTTAGGAACAGCCATGCATCAGTGTCTATCAAAACAGCTCTTGATTTGTAGGTTTTATTTCATTGTGTGGCTCTCTTTACTTAACAAATCCTGTCTCACCCTTTCACAATTCGTGTCTAAGGAACAGGGGCAGTGAGTATTCATGTGTGTTCTTGTGTCTAATTTCTAGATTATTTCTGAAGTAGAACTTCTGAGAAATTATTGGCTCATAGAACTAGATGGATTTTTTTGTTTTGTTCTGTCTTTTTGAGACAGGGTCTCCCTATAGCCCCAGCTGGCCTGGAACTCAGTGGGTAGACCAGACTGGCCTTGAACTCAGAGATCCACCAGCCTTCCCAGTGTTGGGATTAAGGGTGTGTGTTTGTGATGCTGGCAATTGAACATAGGCCCTCATGCCTATTAGTTAAGCACTCTACCATTGCACTGTTTTCCCAGTGGGTCAGAGTGTTAGGTATATCTGTAATCACTACCTACTGGTATGTGTTAGTTTGTACTGATGAATATCCTCCATACAGTGTGTTGGAGGCTTGTTCATGCATTTGCCATTGTCAAGAGCACTTCGGTCTGATACATGGAAAATGAATTGACATCACTCACCTTTCCCAAAATTGTTTTTGAAGTTGACTCTCTCACATTTAAGAAGTAGCTTTTGACAAAGAATATATCTGATTATGTCCTTCCTATGCCCAGTTTTGTACTTGAAGCTTTTTTGTGGGGGAGGATTGTCTGTTTTTGTTTTTTTGCCATGCTAAGAGCAAGTCCATAGCCTTAGGCTTACTAGGCAAGTGTTCCACTATTGAGTGACAGCCTAGCTCTATTTCGGTCTTTTTCAGTCACTAGTAACATCTTTCCCCTTTAGCTTTTTTGAGATGGGGTGACGTGTAGCCCAGACTGACACTGAACTAAAAATCCTCCTGTCTCTGCCTCCAAGTACTAGGATCATAGGTGTGTGCCACCACATTGGGAGTAAATGTTCTTTATGTAGAGTGAGAGTGTTAAAATGTCTTAGCTATTTACCCTGGAAAAGCCATGGATAGTTAGTCTAATCTGATACTCATTTGACTGTTTCTAGTGGACAGAGCTGCAATCACCACATAGCATGGATAGGCAGATATCAGAAGCCAAACGTTAATAGGAAAAGCAGACTACCTAGTTTATAATTTGTCATGAAAGTTTGAATCTTTATTTCATTTAAACTTTCTGTTTAGCTCCTATGAGAGTAGGAGATGAAAATGCCCTGAGTGACATGGGAAATGACTCCATTAGCTTACAGTGTTCAGTAGCAGTGAACTCAAGAAACAAAGTAGCCAGACTGTGACCTTGACCACAATCACTAGGATATGCAAACTAGTTTTCAAGTTAGGATAAGGCACATTTTATTGTATAAGCTTTACAAGGTCTCTTGTAGGTCAGGATGGCCCTTAAATTCCTGATCTTCTGCCTCCATGTCATCAGTGCTGGGATTGAAGGGGGTCAGGGGGCACCATATCAGCCTTCTTGCATAGCCTCTTTAAAAATGTTAACAGTCATTGAGGGTTTTTACTTTCTTTTAAGAGAAAGGAGCTATAATCTTTGAGCAACTATAGGAATCACTTGGGTTTAAATTTCATAATTACTTAGTTTTCTTAATTCTACAGTATATGTGCTGCTTTGAACTTTAAAACACAGCAAGCAGGGCAGTAATTGTTTTCTTTTGATTAGATGAATCGAAGGATGAAAGAAAAGAAGAGGAGGAGGAATTAAATTTTAACGAAGATATTTTGTGTCCTCACGGTAAGCGGAAGCTGAAGTCTGCTGTTGGTTTAATATTGGCTTGTCACGTTTTGTTCCATACTTCCTCTTGAGTAACCCTAAAGGTGTGTTTGTGGATTTTTTGGTTTTTTTCTGCTCTACTTTGTTCTTTTTTTTTGAAATAGGGTTTTACTATATAGCTCAGACTAACCATCAACTCAGAATCCTCTATCTTCCAAGTGCAGGGATTCTAGGTATGTGCCAGAACATTCACCTGAAAAGTCTGTTAAATATTTGGAAGGGTGCCCTAGCTTCCAGAATATCACCCATAAGTCCAAATGTATTCTTCGTAGGTAGCTTTCCCCCTTCTGTTTCCAGAAGTGTGTGCAGGTCTTTGTTGGGCCTGCTGTAGGTTGCAAAGCCTCTGTGTTTGTGCCAATTTACAGTAATTTGTATTGATGTGGCCCTGTTTCATTTGTGGTGCTAGCACTCTGGAAATGTGATTGCAGGGTCTGCAAACTGCAGGCTCTACTGTCAGGTGCCCTGATTGCCTGTTTCACTTAGAACTCCCCTTTGTGTCTGCTGTTGGATCACAAAGATTTCTCCTTGAGCCTCTTTCCTTCCTTGTCTGGAAAATAGGGACCTCCTCTCACTGCTCTGGGGTTGTACAGGGAAGAGGGCATGGTACACCTGTGTTCAGAGCGGGATGTTCATTTGCCGTGTCCCCCACTCTCGGTGTAGAGGGCTTGAATCTTATCAATGTTTGTGGTTTTGGTTTCATGTGTGTGGTTAGAGGAGACATCTATAGGACACAGATGCCAGGAGCAGAACACTAAGTACCTCTTACGTTGGATGGGGGGAGGGGTTTATTTTATTTTGTTTATTTTGGGAAAGGTTCATTCTCACCTTGAACTTGGGAGCATCAAATCAGTCTTCACAGTGCTGGAATTACAAGTGTGTGGCACTGTACCTGACGGGCTTTTATTTACTTTGAGACAGAGTTCATTCACTATGTAGCCCTGGCTGGCCTGGAACTCGCTTTGTAGACCAGACTGGACTTGAACTCACAGATCTGTCTACCTGTCTCTGGTTTCCCAAGTGTTAGGGTCAAAGGTGTGCATAACCACACAGGGCCTTTTCTGATTTTTTTTTTTTTTGGTCTTTTTGAGACAGGATCTCCCTGTAGCCCTAGCTGTCCTGGAACTCACTGTGTAGCCCAGGCTGGCCTTGAACTCACAGGGATCCGCCTGCCTCTGCCTCCCGAGTGCTGGGATTAAAGGTGTGTACCACCACGCCCAGCCCCTTTTCTGCTTTAAAAAAAAATTTTTTCTGGGGGCTGGAGAGATGGCTCAGCAGTTAAGAACCTTGCAGAAGACCCAGGTTCAAATCCCAACACCCACATGGCAGCTAACTGTTACAGTCCTGCTTCTTGGCTTCCTGGGGTAACAAAAAAAATTAAAAATAATAAAATATTTTAAAAAATTTATTTTTCTTTTCTGGGGGCTGGAGAGATGGCTCAGTGGTTAAGAGCACTGGCTGCTCTTGCGGAGGACCTGGGTTTGAACCCCAGCACCCACATGGTGCCTAATAACTGTAACTCTCATTCTGAGGGATCTGATGCCCTGTTCTGTCCTCCTCATGCATTGCATAACACGAGTGCACTTATATACACGCAACCATAACATACACATAAAATAGAGTTTGGATCCAGGGTCTTTTACATATCAGGTAAGTGCAGTAGTACTGAATAGCAATTACATAGACTTTTAGTCCCATTTCCTGATTTTTGGAACAGACTCTTCCTTTATAGCCCAGGTTAGCTTCAAACTCACATTAATCCCCCTGCCTTAGCCTCCTGAGTGCTGGGATTCTAAGTGTGTAAGTTCAGGCTAGGCAGTTGTTGTGTTTTGTGGGGAGGCAGTGTCTCAACTTAATCCCCCTTCTTGGGTCTGTGGAGATGTTGAGATAGTCCTGTAACATAGCAAATCTGGATACTACTTCTTTTTAAAGATTTATCTTTGTGTGTGTATGTGTATGTGTAACAGTAGGTCACATATATGTATATACAATGCCCATGGAGGCTTGAAGAGGGCAATGGATCCTCTGGAGCTAGACCTGTAGACTGCTGGGAGTCTCCCAATGTGGGTGCTGGGAACTGAACTCCAGTCCTCTGCAAGAGCAGCAAGTACCCTTAACTGCTGAGCCAGCTAGCTCTCTAGCCCTGGTTATTACTACTTTTAAGTTAACGTAAAAAATACACACACACACACACACACACACACACACACACACACACACACACGGTGGAGGGCATGCCACAGCACAAGTGGGCGGTCAACAGAAGGTTTGTGCAGTGGGTTCTCTCCTTCCACTTTTACATGGTTTCCAGGGATTGAACTCAGGTCACCAAGCTTGTGTGGCAAGCACCTTTTACCTGATAAGTCATCATGCCAGCCTTGCCAGTTACTTCCTGGCTTTTGCCAACTTAGCCTTAATTTTTCTTGTATTTCTTCTATCCACTGTACGTGTGTGTATACACATGCACACACACACACATGCTTGCACATGTGGAGGAGTGTTGGAAGTGTGTGCGGTTATGTCTATACATGTGTGCAGATATAATAGAGGCCAGAGGACAATCTCAGATGCCTTTAAGAATCTTTGTTTTTTGTTTTTTTGGGGGGTGGGTCTTTTTGAGACAGGGTCTCTCTGTAGCCTCAGCTGTCCTGGAACTCACTATGTAGACCAGGCTGGCTTTGAACTCACAGAGATCCGCCTGCCTCTGCTTCCCGATTGCCAGGATTAAAGGCGTGCACCACCACACCCGGCTCAGAATCTTTGTTTTTCTTAAAAAATATATTTATGGGGCTGGAGAGATGGCTCAGCAGTTAAGAGCACTGACTGCTGTTGCAGAGGACCCGGGTTCAATTCCCAGCACCCACATGGCGGCTACAAACTGTCCTTAACTCCAATTCCAGGGGAATCTGAAGCCCTCTTCTGACTTCCATGGCTTTGCACGACACAGGTGCACTCACATACATGCAGGCAATACACTTGTACACATAAAATAAATAAAATATTTAAAAACAAGCATAAAAACAAATTGTAGCTAGCAAACAAATTGGAGGTTGTGTGGAAAGGGCCCAGATTGATGTATACATTGCATTGCCAACAGACCCCCCCCTGCCACTGCCATGGGCCTCTCTGTAACTCCAACTGGCCTGGAGCTCCATATAGAGACTAGAGTGGTCTTGATCTCACAGAGGTCTTCCTGCTTCTGCCTCCCAGGTGCTGGAATTAAAGGTGCATCACTTCCCTGGCCAATATATTGTTTTAACTTAAAGAGAATAGACCTACTGGGTGTGGTGGCACATTTTTTAATCCCCGCACTTTGGAGGCAGAGGCAGGCGAATCTCTGTGAGTTCAAAGCCAGCTTGGTTTACATAGCGAGTTCCAGGTCAGCTGGGGCTATGGGAAGACCTGTCTCAATATATGGGAGTCGGGCAGGTATGACTAGACCTATGAGATCCACAAAGCCTTAAAAATACTGTTTCACAGAAGATGATTGTAGGAATTAAGGAAAATCTCTTGGGAATTATGACATTTGTGTGTGAAAGTAGATGATGCTGTTAATAGTCAGGACTCAGAACTTAATGTGGATGGAATCTCCCTTACTCACTGAGCAGTCCTGTCCTTGTGTATCTCTTGTCCTGGCATTTTTCAACCACAGCACATTGAGTGCATAAGACTTAAGGATAGGGCTGGAGAGATGGCTCAGTGGTTAAGAACACTGGCTGTTCTTGCAGAAGACCCAGGTTCAAATCCCAGCACCCACATGGCAGCCAACAATTGTCCCTAACTCAAGTTCCAGAGGTCCAACCGCCTCTTCTATCCTCCACAGGCATAGCACGACATGGGTGCACTTACCTACATGAAGACAATACACACATACACATGAAATAAAAATAATAAACAAAGATTTAAGGCTAAAGGCTTGCTCCAAATAAATTTGCTCCAAATAAGTATAGGAGAGAGCACCTATAGACTTTAAGGTTTACCAGTGAGATGGCTCAGCAGGTAAAGGTACATGTCACTGACGTTGACCATCCATCCAAGTTTGATCCTGAGGACCCAAATGAAGGAAGGAGAGAGCTGATTCTCTCTATGGTATGACCACATACCACTAAATACATGCAACAAAATTAATAGAAAATAGATATTAACCTTTTCCACCTTCTAAATTTTTCCCTTTAGGGGGGTTAAGTGTATCTGAAAATGAAAGAAGACTGGTTTCTCAAGAGGCTTGGAGGAAGCTGCAGCAGTACTTCCCAAAGGCCCCTGAGTTCCCCAGCTACAGAGAATGCTGCTCACAGTGCAAGGTACAGGGTCCTGGCATCTGTGGGAGTGCAGGTCCTTCCCTGGGCCTCTCAGGTGAATTAGCTTCCCGCCTATGCTGGTGTGGGGGAGATACCTGATTGCTTCACTCTTTTCCAGATTCTAGAGCGAGAAGGGGAAGAAAATGAAGCCTTACATAAGATGATTGCAAATGAGCAAAAGACTTCACTTCCAAATTTGTTCCAGGACAAGAACAGACCATGTCTCAGTAACTGGCCAGAGGTACAGTGATTGGACAGAGGAGAAAACTTTGTTTTGTCTCGGCCTTGGGCAGACTTGTGTCAGAGCAGCTGAGAGTGCCTCTCATTCTCAGTTACTGGAGTGGGATTTACATCAGCTCCCTTTGCAATTTCCTAAGAGGGTTTTGATTCTGAGTTTGAGGACAGCTTGGATATGTATGAGTTCCAGGTCTGCCTGAGCTAGTTGGTGACCGGTGGGCTACCTAACATCTGACCTGCCGTTGCATTTGAAAAAAACCCTTTGGCTGTTCAAAGATCCCAGGAGACAAAGGGAAGAATACTGAGTAGTCGTGGTCCCTCTGCCACTTCTCAGACAACCTCAGCAATGTTAGGGTCAGCAAGCCTCCAAGCTCCAGCCCAGCAAGCCTCCTAGGTTACTGTGTACTCACCCACAGCCTTTAAAAAAAGGAGAGAAACTAACATTCTTTGTATCTTTCTATTCTAGGGTACAGACGCCCTCTACATTGTATCACACTTCTTTTTAGAAGAATGGCGGAAATTCGTTAGGTAGAAATTACAACTTTTATTTCTCTTTTTGCGGGTTGACTATTTCTGGAAAAATTCATGGACTCCTTTCAGGTTATTCCATATATGGAAAAATTTTACCACATTATAAACATAATTCTAAGACACATTAATTTCTTGTATCCCTTTACATATGTCTCTAATTTAAAATTATCATTTAAAAAAAAATCAGACTGGGTGTGGTGGTGTACACCTTTAATCCCAGCATTTGGAAGGCAGAGGCAGGTGGAGTTCTCTGAGTTCAAGGCCAGCCTGGTCTACATAGCGAGTTCCAGGACAGATGGGTGCTACAGGGAGACCCTGTCTCAAAAATACCAAAGAAAAAGAAAAATGGAAAAAAACTTTCAGGCTAGTGAGATGACTCTGTGGTTAAAAGTCTTTGGATCCCTAGAACCCATGTAAATGGCAGTACTGAAGGCAGACAGTAGGGATCCCCAGAACAAGCTGGCTACCAGCCTACATAGGTGAGCTCTGGGTTCAAGTGAGAGGGTACTATGGAAAGCTATTGAAGAAGACTCCCAATGTCAACCTTGGACTTCCATACACACACACATGATGTACACCTGTACACAGATGTATCTTCACACATGTGAACATGCATGCACATGCATATCACACACACAAACATGAAATTCTTTTAATTAAAAAAAATCTTTCTTCATGCACAGTGAGGTATATTTATCCTCTGTCTTGTTTGACTAGAAAGCCTACAAGGTCTACACCTGTGTCGTCAGTTGGAAACGCTGCCCTTCTGTGTCCTCATGGGGGACTCATGTTTACATTTCCTTCCCTCACCAAAGAAGACTCTAAACTGTGAGTTTCTTCTCCATGTGATTGCCTGTTATAATGATGAAATGTGTTTAGGATAGCCCTCGTCCAGCATGAAAAGTCTTTGTTAGAAATGTACTCGACAGGCTCGCAGTATTCCTTTTAAATAGGGTCTGAGACAGTGAACACTTGTCTTTTAAAAAGACAACTAGGCTGACTGCTTTTCTAGGCTGGGCAGGCCACTACTGAAGGAAGTTTGTTCTTTGTGTCTTTCTTGGACACTTTTCCTCTCTGCTGGTACCCAGAGTGCATCTCCTCCAGGTCGACAGCATCACCAGAATCACCTCATCAGCACAATCTTGGTTATATTAGGTTCGTGCAAAAGGAAATGCAATTTCAGTCTGTGAATTTTCAACTATAAAAAGGCTCAAACACATCTTTATTATTAATCATGCAGCACCCATTACAATCAACCCATTTTTGCTGAGAAATAAGTGTGTTTAAATTGTCTGTGTAATTGGGCATTTTCATAGAGAAGAATTGGGCCCTTTCTATTGACCAGTCCTGGCTGCAGGTGGTGGAATTTTCAGTGCATCTCATCAACTTGCCACACACATTTCTCAGATGTGGCTTTGCTAGGACTGAGAAAGCTGTGGTGCGTCAGACCGACCGCAGATCCCAAACAGGGACCATGACCTTTTCTGGTGGGAGTTTGGCTTTGGGAAGTGCTTTGGAGCTTCTCAGTCCAATCACTGAGCTCGTCGTTATCTGCTGTCATATACCACCCATTTTTTGGCATGTCACAATCAGATGGAAAAATAGTTCCTGTTGCCTAGAGGAATGGAGGAAGAAAATTCAAAACAACCCCCACCCCACCCCCACCTCCAACTCATGCAGCACCCACTTACTGAGCTATTTCAAGTACTGAGCCACTGTCAGGTTGAGGTCTTCGGAAATTCTCCTGCTGCAATTGTAAGAGAGAGGATATGATCTCTCTTGATTGATCACTGTCGACTTCTAATGGCAGCCAGGTTCCTCTTTTTCAAGGTTCTTGTCTCCTTTGCAAAACCTCTTGAACCTCTACTGTACTCTATGCCCTTAAGTAGTTCCTGATGCTCATATTAAAGAAATGGCTCAATTTTGGTTTTTGTCTAACATTTGCATAATATAAAACTACTACAAAATCAACAGCAATCATAAGTCATTAGCAAAAAGCTAAATGAGAAATATGCATTGAAATGATATATAACATTACTGCCTTTATTAAGACTGTATTCCAATATCAAACAGCAAATTTCAACAATGCAAAAACTGCAGTTACTTTTGCACCAACCTAATAGTTGTTTTTTTCTACAGCTGTCAACCTTTAGAGAGAAGAGAAGGAGGCTGGCCTACTGCAACACATAATAAGTAAATATAAGACATTGAAAAATCCCTGGGGATGACACTGGATTATTCATATTTTAATATTTGAAAGATCATTTAAAGGAACTCAGTGTTAATATCTTTTCTTCTAGGTGTCCTCCCTCCTCTCCTTTCTGTTACGGTGGTGAACCTTAAATATTTAGAAACACTATGTCTAGGGCCGGGGTATAGCTGAGTTGGTAGATGCTTACATAGCATGCACCAGGAACTGGGTTTGATCCCCAGGATTGCATAAACTGCATACAGGCACATGCTTATAACCCCAGCAGCCAGTCGTCAGTCAGATGGCTCAAGAACAGTTGAAGGCCATTTGGTCCCCTCTTCTCTCCATTTCTTCTTTTCTGCCTTTATCTTGCTGTAACTTCTGTTCAGAATTTGAGGGCCATCAGTACCAGAAAGTTGTCATTAACACACACACACAACACACACACACACATTGAGCTAGGACAGTCACAAGTTCAAGCCAAACTTAGCCACATGTTAAGACTTTGGCTTAAAAAACAAAGCAAAATTAACGACCTGTGTACATAATTGAGCGAATTTCATATTTAATGCCTTTTGTATAAATGGCTTCATTCTTATGGATCCTTCTGCAGCGAACTTCCTTTACTCACCTTGCAGTGTTGCCTCGTGTCACACCAGTTCAGTTTCACTGCTGCTCTGATATTTTATGAGAAAGTTACTCCTTGTCTCATAATGAGTCTTCCCCCTCCAGTTCCTTCTCATGCAGTTATTGGTGCTGGTTTTGGTGTAGGGTTTGTTCTGTTAATTTCCATGTGTCTTAAGGCATGTTGTGTTTTGTGTTTTGTTTTTGTTTTTTTTGCACAGTATAGCTCTCATATGGCCCAGCGAGTGGCAAATGATTCAAAAGCTTTTTGTTGTGGATAAAGTAATTAAAATTACAAGAATTGAAGTGGGAGATGTAAACCCTTCAGAAGCACAGTATATTTCTGAGCCTAGTAAGTTTTCATAATGCTTTTGATTTCTGCTGTTAGACACTCTTATTTTAAGGGGGATGGAAGGGTTCATCAATACTGTATTATTTGCTTGCTGTTAAAGAACACATAACACTCTAGACTCCTTTGGCAGATCTTTAATGTGAGATGTCATTATCTGTATATTTTATAGACAGTAAATAGATTTCCTTATTTGCATACAGGTTAACATATCCTTTAATTGAAAACATTGCTGTGGTTTACTGACTGCAGTAGCAGCTGATACATGTTTTTGGACCCTGGCTCTTTGGCAGTGATTCTCCAGTGCTTCTGTTCTACCCTTTTCTAGATCTCTGTCCAGACTGCAGAGAAGGCCTGCTGTGCCAGCAGCAGAGGGACCTACGCGAGTACACCCAAGCTACCATTTATGTCCACAAAGTTGTAGACAATAAAAAGGTACTGGTCTTTCTTGTAGCCATGACTAGGATGATCAAGTTGCTTCTGAATTGTGTGTTTTCACCAAGTTCTGCTTGGAACCACGTTTTTATTTTCTCAGAGCTGTTTCCCAGTAGAGTTTAAGTGACAAAGACTAGCTGTGCACTTGTATCTTTGGAAAAATCATTGAATCTAGACTGGTGTTGTACAAAAGAGCTTTCTGTATGATAGATAACGTCTGTGTCTGCTGTGCACTGAAGATAGCCACTAGCCCTGTGTAGCTATTGTGAGGCTGAATTTTTAACTGAGAATTCATTTAAACTGCTACATGTGGCTAGTGGATACTATAGTGCCGGGTGCTGCTCTCAGGTTTTTATTCCAAGGTTTGATTTTGGTAGAAGAGAAGGCATCAGATTTTATTGGTGTCATGTCAGGCTGAGGGTTTGGGCTTTTCCTCTAAGTATAGATACTGGCCATTGGAGAATTTCAAGCAAAGTTCTAGTGTGGTCTGACTTATAGTTTGAAAAGTTGCCCTGGCCATTGTGTTTAGAGTAGGTAGGGGCATAGTAAGACTCGGAAAGGCCAGGTTGAGGCCTCATGTGTTGATCTAAAGGACAGGTGGAATAGGCAGGTGGGGTTTTAGGACATTCTTAACCACATTAGGATTGGCTTTGTGGGTAGATCCTGACCTTGTCTGTGGAAATCCCTCGTTGGATTCCAGGGTTTGGGATATTAAAGACAAATACTTTCTTTGATGCTAGTTACTAAATGCATTGTTGTTAGAAGGGCATTTCCCCAATGGTACAGTACAGGTCAGAGTTGTCCTTCACAAATCAAAGCTAAAGCCTTCATTTTCAACCTTAGGAGAAAATGGACATAATGTGAGTACCTCTACTTTCCTCCTAGATTTTCTTAAACCTTTTGTACCTTTAGTACCTGAATCTAGTAAAAGTTAGCATGTCCACCAGCTGATGTTTCATTATTTTGAGTTTAATGGCAGCATTCCACAGTGTTCTACAGAAGGGTACTTCCTCTGTCCTTTGGATCTCAGTACTTAAGAAGCTTGAGACTCCTGCTTCCCTAGGTCCTTCAGGGTTGAAAAGGTTTCATACTCGTTGTATTTATTTAGCAAGGCATAGACTACCTTGAGCTCACTGTCTTTGGATCAGCACTGCAGAGGCCTCTCAAATTGACGGTGAGCACATTCAATACAAGAATGTGTCACAAGATTGGACTACAAGAAGTTAAAGAGCAAAGGAAGCAGCCCTGGGTTCCCAGTCCACCCCACATCTGATGGGGCCCAGTAGTTCTGCACCCTCCATGCCACATTTTCCTAGGGCCTGACCCACTTCTCTCTGTGATCCTGGTACATTTAGGTGATGAAGGATTCAGCTCCAGAGTTGAATGTGAGTAGTTCTGAGACAGAGGAGGATAAGGAAGAAGCTAAGCCAGATGGAGAGAAAGATCCCGACTTTAATCAAGTATGTGTTGGAGCTCTTTCCGTTGTTATGTCTCTGCCACTGTTCCTGATCACAGCCTCTGTAGGTGTCTGGCATGTCTGCTTCCCCAGTGGGATATTGGTTCTAGTCCCCTCCCTGCTTTTGTCCTGTGTTACTTTGGAATACGACTCTCAAATCTGCCACCTCAAGAATAGGTTTTGGGGACTTTTGTGGGTTAAGGCATAGGGAAAGGAGACTGGAGGTTAAGACATAACCAGTGGTCTGTGAATGCATAGTCAGACCTCATCAACTGTTGCTATCATGACCCACATATCATAGGCGATTTCTTAAAATGATTTTATTTCTAATTATGTATATATATATATGTCTGCATGTGGGTTTGTGCATATAAGTGCAGGTTTCCTTGGAGGCTGTGAGGTTGTGAGCCTCCTGACATGGGTGTTGGAAACCAAATTGGATCCTTTGCAACAGCAGTATGTGCTCTTAACCACCATGCCATCTCTAGCCCTTATCCTGTATTTCCTTCTTTTTTTTAGTTTCGATGACAAGTTGCAGGCTACCCTAATTGCTCATAGAAAAAAAAATATGTACTATATATCCTCCAGAATTCTTGTTTCTTAAAAAAATGTTATATGTATGAGGTTTTTGTGTGCATATATGTAAATGCACCCATGTGTGCAATTTCTATGGGGGCCAGAAGAAGATGTGAGATGCCCTGGAACTGAAATTACAGATGTTTTGCTGCCACATGGGTGCTGGGTACTGGGTACTGAACCCAGGTCCTATGAAAGAGCTCTTAACCCCTGAGCCATCTCTCCAGCCCCAGAATTCTTGTTTTTAAGAAGGAAAAGTGCTGGATGTGGTAGCCCTCATAGCTCATGCCTATAATCCCAGTACTCGGGAGGCTGAGGCCAAATTGTCCATGAATTTAAGGCCAGCTGGGGCCATAATGAGACTTTCAAAAAAAGAGAAGGTGAGGAGCTGTGAAGCTAGGTATGGTGGCACACATCCCTGCACTTCCTGTTCTCCTGGGGTTGGGGTAAAACTACATAGCAGGGGACTGGAGAGATGGCTCAGTGATTCAGAGACCTGATTGTTCTTGCAGAGGACCTGGGTTCGATTCTGAGTATCCACATGGGAGTTAACAATCACCTGTAACTCCACTTTCAGGGTTGAATGCCATCTCCTGATCTCTGCTGACTTTGCAGGACTCAGGTGCACTTACATACATGCAGGCAATACATTCAGACACATAGAATAAAAATAACATATTTTTTAAAAAGCTTCTATGTAGCAAGACTGAAGAAAGGGGGAGGAGGCAGAGAGGTGGCTCTTGCAGAGCACCGGGGTTAGGCTCCCAGTTCCCATGTCATGCAGCTTACTACCACCTGTATCTCTAGCGCCAGGGTCTTCAGTGCCCTCTTCTGGCCTCCATGGGTAGCTACACGCAACATGCATATACTTCTGCACAGACACATAACTAAAAGTAATAACATAAAATCTGTGGTGTGACTCAGTGGATAAAAGCACTGGCCAAACCTATGTACATGAAAACCGTCCCTGGGTCCTACTTGGTGGAAGGAGAGAACTGATTTCTGCAAGTTGTCCCTTGACCACCACGTTTCATGGTATATGTGCACTTGTGTGAGCATACATGTGTGTATGCACACAAACTATAAATAAATAAAATTAATTTAAAATCTAAAAATCCTTTAAAAGGCAAAATCACAGCATTTATTTATTATTTATTTATTTTTATTTTTTGTCTTTTTGAGACAGGGTCTCCCTGTAGCACCAGCTGACCCAGAACTCACTATGTAGACCAGGCTGGCCTCGAACTCACAAAGACCTGCCTGCTTCTGTTTCCCTGAGTGCTGGTATAAAAGGCATGTGCCGGCATGCCCGGCTTGGCTCACTTTTATGTATTTTTTAAAAAAGATATATTTTATGTGTGTTTGTGTGTGCTTGAGTCTATGTATGTGCACATGTACATGCAGGTGCCCACAGAGGCCAGAAGAGGGCTATCAGATTCCCTGGAACTGGAGTACAAGTGGTTGTGAGCCATTGGACATGGGTGTTTTGAGCAAGAAATGTTCTTTGGAAGTGGTGATGGTTGAGTTTTGTTTGTTTGAGACAGGGTCTCACTGTGTAGCTCCAGCTGGCCTTGATCTCCTAGAGATCCACCTGCCTCCACCTCTTGAGTGCTGGGATCAAAGGGATGCATCACCACGGCCAGCATGAATGCCTACTTAAAGGTTTTTTTTTTTGTTTTTTTTTTTTTGTCTTTTTGAGACAGGGTCTCCCTGTAGCCCCATCTGTCCTGGAACTTACTATGTAAACCAGGCTGGCCTTGAACTCACAGAGATCCACCTGCCTCTGCCTCCCGAGTGCTGGGATTAAAGGCATGCACCACCATGCCTGGCAAAGTTTTTTAATAATTGAAATAGGTCCTCACTGCTTAGGTAGGGTAGTCAAATTCTGGTTAGTATTCTCCCTGTGTTAGAGTGGCCATCTGCTGTGTCTGTTGAGGATTGCAACTATCTGGGCTTGTTGCCCTGTCAGTTCACATAGATACTTCTTCATTTTCAACATTCGTTAAGAAGGTCTTAAATCTTGGATTCCCCAAGGTAAATGTTACTTATAGTTTCCCAGCTGGTATGAAGTGATATGTTAGCATTTGTTACCCATGACTCATTGAAATCTCATAAAATAACCTAAAAAACGGGCTGGTTAAGAATGCTGGCTGCCTTTGCAAAGGACCGGGGTTCAATTCCCAGCATCCATATGGCGGCTAACAACTGTTTGTAACTTCAGTTCCAGGGGAATCTAACACCCTCTTCTGACCTCCACAGGTATTGCATGACCCCATTGCACTTAGATAACATGCAGGCAATACACTCATACACATAAAATAAAAAATGTCAGTAAATAAGTTTCTTGTAAATATTAAAAACAAACACCCACAAAGGAACAAAACCACACACTTTTGTGCCACAGCCTGTGACCGTGGGCAGCCACATTTGAGTTTCCCTTGTGAACCTCAGCAGGCCCTTGACTTCAGCAGATCTATATATATATTCTGTAGGAGCAAGGTTTCAGCCTTGAGGTGTTTTCTTATTCTGTTGTCCCATATCCCTTTTCAGGGGTGTATGTGGGGGCATGTGGTGTTGTGTTCTTGTATTAGGGGTTTTTTTTGTTTTTTTGGTAGGTTTTTCTGTTTGTTTTTTTTGTTGTTGGTTTTTAGAGACAGGGTTTCCCTGTAGCCCCAACTGACCTGGAACTCACTATGTAGACAGGACTGGCTGTGAATTCACAGAGATTCGCCTACCTCTGCCACCTGAGTGCTGGGATTAAAGGTGTGTTCCATCACAGCCAGCTATTTTTGTTTTTTTGAGGGGGACACAGTATTGCTGGTCCTGAACTTACCACATAGTCCAGGCTGCCCTGGAACACATGATCCTCTTGACATGGCCTCCAGAATGCTGGGATCTCTGGTGTGAGCCACCCTGTGCTTGACTGTTACACGCTCCTCTGTAGGAGCTTGCTGACCCAGCTGCCCTCCAGCCTGTTGTTGCCTCTTTGCTTTTTGTCTCTTTCTGCAACCTGCATTCTAAAGTGGGAGTGGGTGTCCATCCTGTGTTTAGATCCTGTCCTGTTTGCACATGGTTGAGAACACCCTACTAATTGCTATTTATGACCCTGAAGAATGGCTCAGTCGTCAGCTGGGAACCTCCTCTTCTCATCTTATCTTTGGTCACTAATTCTCTATTTTGGGTAAATTTGGTCAATTAGTTAAGCTTTATCTATATTTTTCTTGTCCTCAGTTTCTCTTATTTCAGGGTTTGCCTTTCAGCTTAAGAGTTGTTTAGGAAACTCTTTACATTTTTAAGTGATTCAGACTTTGAAGGGCTGATTTTTTTTTGAACATCTAGCTTTATTTGCTGTGGCTATAACCACAGCGATGTTTTCAAGTGGATGTGGAGGAATTCCTTTCCTCAGTTGTGGATGGCAGCAGATTTCACGTTTACAAATACCACCGAGAATGCCGGAGAGCACTGCCGTAATTATTTTGTATACTTTATAATTTTCCTCTGTCTCACTTCTCCATGTTTGGATATTGTAATACTGTAGAATGTTTTAAATAGTTTTGGTTCAGGAAGGGAAAAAAAAAAAATCTCAGTTCTAACCCTGTGTTTAGAAAAGAGTAACTAGTCCCTGAAACATATCTAGTCTCTTCATAATGTTCCCCTCTCCCCCTTTCTGTGTAGACAGCTTTTTAGAGCATAGATGGCTGTTGTGATAGCTGTAGTAAATCCGTGCCATTCACCCAGGCATTAGTGCTTTCCTTAATGGAGTTGAACAAATCCCCTTCCCTCTTCTCTAAGCCAGATCAACCTAGTTCCTTTCTTGTTATCTGAAATTCAGGTTAATAATATACTCGGTATCGGGTATCTCTTAGATAATTGGAAGCTTTCTGAAACCAGTGGGCTGAAAAAAATAAATAATAAAACCAATGGACTGATTGGTTTTAGTACGTTGAGTTGGATTTAAAAATCTATATATTTAATGGAAAATAATTACAGAAAAAGCTTTTAAATTCATTTAAAATCAGTTTTAAAAGATCTTAGTTGAGGGCTGGGGAGATGGCTCAGCGGTTAAGAGCACGACTACTCTTGCAGAGGACCCAGGTTCAATTCCCAGCACCCACATGGCTGCTACAAACTGTCCTTAACTCTAGTTCCAGGGGAATCGGACGCCCTCTTCTGACCTCCGTGACATTGCATGACATGGGTGTGCTCACATACATGTAGGCAATACACTTGTACACATAAAATAAAAATAATAGATATTTTTTAAAAAATCTTAGTTGATATTTGGGGCTTGAGTGAGAGGGTGAGGTTGAATATTGTATTATAGATTGATTTCTGTTCCTAATTGTGGACTTTTCTGTTCACTTTGACTTTCTCAGTCACAATTGAGCAAAGTACTTGCACGTTATTGTGTTGGTAACTGCTAAGTTGGCTAAATTGTAGCACCCTGAGTCAGGGCTTTACTGCGTCTGCATCCTGGTAGCTGCATTGTGAATTGCAGAACCCATTTATAATGCATATGGGGCACATGTGTCCACAGAGGCCCCTGAGCCCTTCTGCTTACCAGAGCTGATGCTCAGTGACATCCTGGAAACCAAAGGGAGGCCCCCAGTTACCACATCCTGATATAATTAAGCCAGAGAAAAAGAATTAAATCTCTCATTCTGTAACCTGGTTAGCACAAGACTCTTGACTTCTTGTTGACTTCTTGATGAGGTGTTTATAAGTATTCTAGAGAGCTGGACACATACTGTTATCCCAGCACTTGGGGGACTGAGGATCACCTACTCACTGCCTGGTACATAGCAAGTTCAAAGCAGACCTACATAGTGAGACACTGTTAAAAAAAACAAAAAGGGGTGTTCTAGAACATTTGGCCCCTAGCTATTTCTATAAGGCTAGGACAGCCTATAACATATACCCATATATACATCTGTACTTTTTTGCTGATTCTTTAGGTCAGTTGTAGTGATCAGTCATTCTCGCTTATAAATACTTAATTCCGCACACACCAGAAGCGAACACCATCCTGTATAGTGGTAATAATATGCTTATATGAAAGCTAGCCCTGGTGTTCCTGGTATCCTCCGATGCTATAGTCAAGGACAGCTTGTGTAGTGAGTGTAACTTAGGATGGTTTCCCTCTAGAGCAGCTGCCCTCCCTCTCCTTTCTGTACATGGCATTGACGGGGAGACCAGTTTGTTTTCTTGAGATTGTTCCACAACCTGGATTTGACTAACTCCCTATCTTATTTCTTTTCTGACTTTTTTGCCTGTGCCCTATATTACAATTTATATAAACTTGAACTTGGGCCTGAGTGTGTGTTTATATTCAGTTTTAACTTTTTCTTTTGGTCTTTTTTTGAGACAGGGTCTCCCTGTAGCACCAGCGGGAACTCACTATGTAGACCAGGCTGGCCTTGAACTCATAGGGATCTGCCTGCCTCTGCCTCCCAAGTGCTGGGACTAAAGTTGTGCACCACCATGCCTGGCTCAATTTTAACATTTTATGCAACTATATTTTATAGATGAAATTGTTTCTCTTCTCTTCTCTTACCCCGCCTTTATCCCCACCCAAACAATATGACAAAGAGACACAATGTCTGGTTTTTTAGTAAAATTAGATTTTATTTCTTTAGTGAGGTATAACATTGCATTTCAGAATTCTGAATAGTTTATACTTCCATATCATTCTCAAAATAGAGGAAGTGGGTTATGGCTCAGCTGTGCTTGCTTGCCTAGCTAAGAAGCCCAGGGCTCCATCCCAGCACCATATAAACCTAGCATAATTGCACTCTGGAGGTGGAGGCAGGAGGATCAAAAGTGCAAGGTCATCCTCAGCTTTATCAGGAGTTTGGAGGCCAACTTGTGGTACACGAGAATTGGTCTTGAAACCCCCCTTCCCCTCCAAAAAAAGAAACTGAAATGTATTTTAAAAATCAGAATTTATTTATGAAATTTGGTAATCTTGGAATCTTTTCAGTTTATTGACTTGTGTTTTTTTTTTTCTAAATTTAGTGCATTTATTTGTTTTGTGTTGGAGAGTTACGGGTACAGTAGAGATCAGAGGACAGCTTGTGGGAGTTGGTGCTCATCTTCCACCATGTGGGTCCTGAGGAACAAATTCAGGTGGCCAGGCTTGGCAGCAAGAGCCTTGTCACCAGCCATGGGGTTTATGAGGCAGACTTGCTATGTAGCCCTACTAGTGACTGACCCTGAACTCAGAATCCTTGCCTCCACTTCTCAAGTGACCACCCTACCTGATGATCTATTGTTGTTATTGATTGATGTTCAAGCTTATTTTCCTTTGAAATGTTTCTTTTTTTAAAAAAATTATCATTTTTTAAAATATTTTATTTTATGTGTATGCATGTATTGCCTGCATGTAGTTAAGTGCACCCATGTCATGCAATGCCCTCGGAGGTCAAAAGAGGCTGTTGGATCCCCTGGGACTGGAGTTATGGACAGTTGTTAGCTGCCATGTGGGTGCAAGAATAACCAGTGTTCTTAACCACTGAGCCATCTCTCCAGCCCCTGAAATGTTTCTTAAAACCAACATTTAGAGCCAGGCGTCGTGGCGCACGCCTTTAATCCCAGCACTTGGGAGGCAGAGGCAGGTGGATCTTTGTGAGGCCAGCCTAGTCTACATAGCAAGTTCCATGCTAGCTTGGGCTACAGAGAGATCCTTTCTCAAAAAGACAAGACAACAACAACAAAACAAACCCAGCATTTAGAGCCCAGCATGGTGGCACACGCCTTTAACCCAGCGCTTGGGAGGCAGAGGCAAGCAGATCTCTGATCCAGGCCAGCTGGGGCTACAGGAAGACCCTGTCTCAAAAAAACCAACATTTAAATTACTACCCTCAGTTAAAGGTTGATTTTACTCATTCTGGTTTTTATTTTTCTTTTCCCAATTGTATGTGAGCCTGCTAAGAATCTCTGTAGAATTTTCTGCTTCTTGTTGGTGTTGAATTTCAGAGCGTTTCAGGACCAGTAAGCACACAGCTTCTGCATAGCAGGCAGGTTCACATGGAGGGTCTCTGAGCTTTCCCTTTTTGGATCTTTATTGCAGAACAATGGAGGTGCCAAACGGCAGAAGATATCCCAACAGACCTACATTGCCTACCAGAAGCAGGTCATCCGGCGGAGCATGCGGCATCGGAAAGTCCGTGGGGAGAAGGCGTTGCTGGTTTCTGCTAATCAAACGTTAAAAGAATTGAAAATTCAGGTGAAGAATATTGAATGTTTGTTCATGTCTGCCCTGGACTTTCCAGACCCGTGATGGATTCTTGCTTTCTGTCTATTTTATATAGGTATCTGTTTTTTCTCCAGCTGACCTTTTAACCAGCTGCCTGCTCCTGCTGATAAGCTAAGGGGAGAGGCCTTTTTAGATTTCCCAATAATGTCTGTAGAGCCCCCAAATTAAAATAACTCCTTTTTAAAAATTTTTTTTATTATTTTTATTTTATGTGTATGTGTGTATTGCCTGCATGTAGGTAAGTACACCTGTGTCAAGCAATGCCTGTGGAGGACAGAAAAGATGTTGGATGCCCTGGAATTGGAGTTACGGACAGTTGTTAGCTGCCATGTGGGTGCTGAGAATCGAACCCGGGTCTTCTGCAAGAATAGTC